GGCCAATCAGGCCCAGTTGTCTGACAACTTCCATTTGGACTACATCGACATCACCATCCTCGACATCCAAGGGCGTATCATCCTCATCCGCCAAGGTTATCTTGTCCAGATCTCTTTCCAAAATCTCAGCTGTGCTTCGCAGTTCTTCAGGTTCCAAGTTGGAACCCTCCTTCCCGTTTCCAGCAGGCAGCATCTCCTCCATTGTTTCGCTTAGCGCTCAAGTAGCAAGCCAATTGGTTGCAGTAGTTAAAAAACTTGGGATTTTGGGTTTGATTCAAAAGACTCCTTCAGAACTCCTTTATATAGATGTAAAATACAGTACCAAGAAGATGTCGCTCTTCACTAGGAACCTCTAATCCTTTTGGGAGAAGAGATCCTTTATCAATCAGCAATCAAAAACCACAATCGCCTCGGAAAACCTAGGGAAAATCTAGCTCTGCCGCTCCGCAACTCTCGCTAAATGAGAGAACTTCGTGCTATAGTTCAGCATTAAGTTCTTGTTCATGTGGAGGCCTCCTACTATTAGTTTGGTTTGGCCTTGTTTCTTTGTGGTCTCTCTCTCTCTCTCTCTCTCTCTCTCTCTCTCTCTCTTCACACAGTTTTTTTGCCCTCTTCATCTTTTGTGGTAGCTAGGTTTTCTCTAGTAATGATATATGGGATCTCAAATCGGCCTTTTTCTGTTTTCCCGTGATTTTAGGCTGTTAATCCATTTTACCTCGTAGATAAGATTGGAAATCTGACTTTTTGCCTGTCATTTCTTAGGAATTGTTTGTTTGGTATATTTGAACACTATTGTGTACTAAATGACTCAATTGATACATTTGGTGCACAAGCCATAAGACGTTTGTGAATGGGGGAAATGAGGAATTCAGAGGTGATGTGAATTCCCTAAACCCTTCTTCACTCTCACTCTCTCTAGGTTTAGTTAGTTCCATTTTAATTTTTCTCAATTTCAATAGGATCTATGTTTCACTTGAACCCTTGTTTCAATTTTGGACCATTTATGAATCCTAGATACTCGATAAGCCTCGTGATGTTGGTGGAAGAGCATCAGAAGAGGAGATTATACATCAAGGTTTTTTTCCGGAAAAAGAGCAACATTGATGCGTACGTGGGCTTTGGAGGATTCATTGATAGTAGTTGTGTTGCCCTTAATTAATTCTGAGATAGTTTCAATTATTTATTGTTTAGGAATTGTATCCAATTACAAGTATTTTAATGTAGTCTTTTTTTTTTAGAGTTCACTGATGGGATTTCATTGAAATCAAGTAATAAGTGCCTCAAGGGCTACAGCATAAGCTACCATCAAAAGCAATTGACCATTGTCAAAACAAAGTTCTTCTTCAACAGACAAAATATGGGCTAAAAGATGGGCTGCATTGTTTGTTTGCTTCCCTGTAAGTGAGCAACCATTCTCGAATATCCATATCATCCGCCTCCTTTAGAATTTCAGAGCAAAGAGTCCCCAGTTCTGTTCTGCATAGAGTGCCCTGCAATCCGATTCCACCATGATCGGTCAGACTCCCTTCTGCTTTGATATGCAAATACCATGCAAGATTGCCATCCCTTTAGCCATGTCCGGAGGCCATTTCACTCTGATTCTTTTATTAGAAGCGAAGATTCGAGTTCCTTCCCAGTCTCTGAGAATACATCCCAGCCCCACTTCACCTCTGCTATTTATCCCAACATCTGTATTGAGCTTCAACATTCCCATAGAAGGCTTCTTCCATTTGCAGTTCTCCCTTTGTCTGTTCCTTGGGGATGAGAAATCCTTCCCTTGTACTTCAAGAAAACATTGTATGTATTCATCTGCTCGAGGAAAAACCTCCCATTCTTCCATGAATTTCTTATTGAATAGAAGTTATATCTGTCCTTCCAGAAGAACCAGAGTAATGAACAAAGTTGCGCCACCTCCTTTTCCGAATAGTTCTTTAAAACCATGGTGAACCACTTTTTGCAGGTGATGCCTTCAGCCTTATAAAAGTTTTCAGCAAGAGGGGTTTTACTCCAAATCCTACTGTTTCAGCAACAATCAATCACGTTGTGCTTCAGAGTTTCCTTAAGACCGTATTTGGGACATTCATCCCCAAAGTTTTGACTTTCCTACTAATTCTAGTTCCCACAGGAAGGATGTTGTGAGCTGTTTTCCACACAAAAGTTTTCAACTTCCCAGGCATGTTTATCTTCCATAAGGTCTTCCAACAGAATCCATCTTCATTTCTCTCGCTATCTCCTGCAACCTCCTCATTCTTTCTCTTTTGCTCAAACACATACCCAGATTTCATTGTATACTTTCCATCTTCAGTTCGTATCCAGCAAAGAACATCCCTATCAATCACTGATGCAAGTGGAATGGCCAGGATCGCAATTGAGAATTCACATTCACACTCACACACATCCAATTGAGAATTACTCTATCACAAACTAGGGTCTATTACTTTCGGCCAGCCCATACCCAATAAATAAAATTGGCCACTTGCACCCGAGGAATGACAATTAATACGTTCCCCATTTGGGCCTCCATTCCTAAAATATTAGTATTTTGGTAGTAATAATGATTTGGCAACATGATACTGAATTGAAAAATATAAATAGAGGTTAACATTCCAAAATTTTAGTATTTTAACTAAGAAAAAAAATTAAAAAATTATGAGCGGTAACAAAAAAATGACTACTATTTTGATGTATTGCCAAAGATTTGGATAATTATTAATAGTTCAATAGGTTTGGCTAATAAAAAAAATTTGACTAATAAAAAATCGTTACCCAAATTTAAAAATAGAAGGAAACAAAAGTATCAGACGTCTGACACTCTAGGATGGCCCAAAAGCGGTAGGGCCCACGTGTCAAGGGGAGGCTGGGAAGCGAGTTTGGATATGGTTCACCAGTTGAATTTTGGAGGATGGTCCTCCATCTCACATTCAATGGTTCATAAAAATGGGCCAATTAATTAAGGGTCGAGATTCGTTAGAAAAAAGTAGTTGTGGAAAGCATAGTTAATAAAATACGGTACCAGAAAGTTACGTAAAAAATACGTACAGGTATTTTACGTCGTCTCTAATCTAAAGTTACGTTTAATAGTACGTTAATAGTAATAAATATATAAAAAGTAAGTACTTTTAAAATAAATAAATATATAAATAACAGTAAAGTTCACAATTTAATTCATTAAATACGGATATTAAACGTGTTATACGGATTTTATACGTGTTTAGTACGAGAGCCATCCAATTAACGAAAAAAAATGAAACGACTTGACATTAATATGGATACAGAAGTTTTAAACGAATAAAGTACGTACGGGTACATATACGTGCATTAAACGGAGTATTTACTAACTATGGTGTGGAGAGTGAGGTCAGTAAGTGAAAAGTTGATATTTTGGGGCCCACAGACTGAAAAAGAGTTGACTCAAGAGAGAGATTGGGGAATGCAAATTCTGGGAAATTCTGAATATAATTTCTGTTTTGTACAAATATGTTTTGGAATCAGTACGAATATGTTTTGTGTTTACTAAGAATATAGTTTTAATATGTGGTATATTATTTTGAATAAAAGTTGTGGAAATTATGAATATACAAATCACACATATGGAATATGTTTTTTATTCAATGCAATTTTTTATATACGAATATGTTTTTCAAATGTGTATTTTTGTTCAGTACAAATATAATTTTTATTCAATATAAATATGTCTTTTGTTCAATAAAAATATAATTTTTGTTCAACCAGAATATACATATACAACTTGTAGGTAGTATACATAAATTATATTTTGTTAAACATATATGGCCCACTTGTCAGTTATTTTTCAGGTCGTGGGTACCAAATTGGATAATTAGCATAAAAGGTCACATACCTATTTACTTCGTACAAAACGGTCACAAACCTTTAATTTTGCACGTTTCAGTAACATATGTTTGATAGAATAACGAAATGGTCATTCCGTCCATCTCCATCCAAAAAACCGTTAATTTGGTTTAGTCAGCAAGCCACGTCACTTAAAATATTAATAAAAAAGTCATTTATGAAACCAAATTAAACTAGAGAGCCCAACCCAAAACCCTAATTCCCTATCACCTGAAATCTTGGAGATTGAACTGATTAGTTAATAAAAAACAAAAAAAAAATTGTCGTTTTCACTTTTCCTTCGCCGAGCTGATAACATCTCTGAAGTTGGGTCACCGACCGATATGAAATTTGGTAGAAGACAAATTGTAAGGGAACCCGCAAAGGGGTTATTTGCCACTGAGGGGCTATATATGTGGAAGAACAGAACTATACAGCTAGCTATCATCCAATTGGCAGTGTTACTACGGTAAACAAAACGAATTAATTAAAATGACCAATGCTAAACCAACATGTGGTGCTATACAGTAGAAATGGAAAAGTGTCTTGACGCCTAACTGAGACGACGTCGTCCTTGTCTTTGTCTTTCAATTACTCCACAGTTGAATGACGTCGTATCAATGGGTCCAAGGTCCCAAGACCGGTTCATCCCTTCGATCAGCTCTGGTTTGGATACTTTGTTATGCCCCCTCAAGCTGAGCATATAGATTATGTATGTTCAGCTTGGATAATAAGAACTGTAAACGAAACCTGCTCAAACCCTTTGTAAAAAGATATGCAATCTGATTCTCCGTATCAAGATGATGAAGGGAAATGAGCTTGGACTGAAGGTATTATGAACAAGCTTACTATTTAAGAAATGATCAAACAAGCAAGTAACATGATCAGTGGCACCAGTATCAAGGAACCAAATGTTGACAAGCTCTAATGGATGCTTCTGATAGTATGTGGTTAAGGTAAATTTACCTGCACAGTTTGGACTAGTAGATATGTGCTTGCTGACAGAGTTCACTTGGACATGTTGTGGGGCTGCTCTTGGTGTAGAACTAGAGGATGGAGTGTTGGGAGAAGTGGGTGACTGTGGTGGACTAAACTGTCCAAGAAGCTTCTGCAGTCTGTGAACATCTTCAAATGAGAGTCGAAGATCAGTAAATCCACCCCCTGATTCATTAGCATTCGGTGAATCTGGCCTGCCAAGAATGCTTTTAGAAGGTGAGTCCATTCCTTGTAACTAACCAGCAAAACCTCCAGATGAGTGTCATGCTTCCTTGTTCTTCCTTTTAAGCCTATAACAGTCTGCAATCACATGATTGTCCCTTTTGCAATATCTGCAGAATAGATTCCCTTTTGGTGTCTCTTTTCCTTTTCCTTGAGATCCTGATGGGGGAAGAAGAGCCACTGACTCTACTGCAGATTCCTGATTTGCCTTAGCTGAAAGTTTCCTTTCATGTTGAATGGCAAAGTGGAAAGCAGTCTCCATTGGGGGTAATGGACTCATCATGAATAGATTAGTTCTCACCCCTTCATATGAGTCATTAAGTCCCTTAAGAAACCTCATCACATATTCATTATCCCTGTACCATTTAATTACAACCTCAGTAACACATGGCACAGTTCTAGCCTGAATATCACCACACAAACATCCTGGAATTGGAAGGAACTGATTCAATTCTTCCCAATAGCTCTTAAGTTCAGTATAAAACTCATTCACAGACTTGTTTCCTTGCTTCGAAGTATAAACAACAGTTTGCAGATCACTGATTCTCATATTATCTGCTTGTCCAAATCTTTGTTTGAGGTCATTCCAAACAACTCGAGCATTTTCCATGGAAGAGATAGAATCTACTAAGCTAGGATGCAAAGATCCAAGAATCATGAAGAGGACTGAGGTATTACTCTGTTCCCAAGCTGGGTAGGAAGCATGAAGCGAATCTGGAATTGGGATGATGCCATTGATGAAGCCCATCTTGTTCTTGCTTTTAAGAGCCACACGAACTGTCCTGCTCCACTGATTGTAGTTGTTGGTGCCGGTGAGTTTGATGGGGAAGACCAGTGCCTCATTAGGGTTTACATAAAATGGATTTGTCATAGTTGGTAGTTGTGCCTGAGCAGTGAGTGTGGTGTTGTTGTTGTTGTTGTTGTTACCTCCAGAGCTTGTGCTTGCATCTGTGGATGCATTTTCTGCCATGACGGCTGGAGTTCAGAGAAGAGAAAGAATGCGGGTGAAAAAGCAGAAACCCTAGTTCTGAGAACCCGACTCTGATACCGTATGGAATTTGGTAGAAGACAAATTGGAGGGGAACCCGCAAAGGGGCTCTTTGCCACTGAGGGCCTATATATATGGAAGAACAGAATTGTACAGCTAGCTATCAGTCTAATTATAGTGTTACAACGGTAAAAAACGGATTAATTAAAATGACCAATGCTAAACCAACATGTGGTGCTATACATTAGAAATGGAAAAGTTTCTTGGCGTCTAACTGAGACGACGACGTCCTTGTCTCTGCCTTTCGATTACTACACAGTTGAATTACGTCATATCAATGGGTCCAAGGTGCCAAGACAGGTTAATCCCTTCGATCAGCTCTGGTTTGGATACTCTGTTAGCCGAAACCAACGGAGGGTCGCCGCCCTGGTCGTGTCGCCGCCCTAGTCGCGTCGCCGGAGCACCGATGGGATTTCCAGGTTCAATTGAATTTTGGGAGACGTGGTATGCATATTTTAGGACCTCTCCAAGCGCTAGGGGTGGAAATCGGTACGGTATCGGTATTCCAATACCAAATACCGAAATCCAAAAAACCGAATTATAGTCTAGAATCATTCCCAATCCCTAAATAATTTCGGTATCCCAATCTCAATCTCTAAATATTTCGGTATCAAATCGGTAATTCGGTATCCCAATCGGTAATATCGAATTCGAAGTAATTACCTTTACAATTAATAATTAAATATATAAATTAGATTTGATTATTCAATATAGGACAAAGAGATTAAACAAAGAGTTTTGAGTTTGGCTAGAGCTAGGATATGAATAAGGAGAATGGAGTAGAGGTGACATCTTAAGTTTTTGTCATTGGTAATCTTTAATTTGACGAATTGGAGGCTGAGAGAAGACTAATACTAGTGTTTGCTTTTTAGTGTTATGAAAAATAACAATACATTGGTGGTTGAGGGTAGTGTAGACTGTAGTAGTGAATGTGAGAGTCTAGTTGAGAGGATAAAATACACACTAGCTTACATTTCGGTATTGTTCGGTATTTCGGTATATACCAATCCCAATCCCGTAATCACTAATACCGAATGACAATTGAAATTGAATCCCAATCACAATCCCAATAAATAATACATATATTCGGTAATACCAAATATAAACAAATTCGGTACGATATTCGGTATATTCCAAATACTGGTATCAAACTTCCAGCCTTATCCAGCGCTGTTTTCTCTGAACCACTGCTCTAGCCACGTACTAGCTTCAACCCAATCCCCATCTGACTGAATCCAAACAAAATAAACAAATTAATTAATTAAAATTTGTTTGGGCGGGTAGGATTGAAGTAGGATCAACAAATGAAAGTGGGATCACAGTATACCTGTGAGAAGGGGAAACGCGAAGGCCAAGGATATGAGGGGCGCCTTGTAATTTTCATTTAATACGCTCAAGGATTTTAATTCTCGTGGTTATGTATGTAATTGGAAGTCAATGTAAAACTATTCATGCACGTAAGGAAAAAAAACATTCATATTATATATAGATGCTCGACTTGTGATTGATCTATTTCTTCAAATTATTAAAATTGTTCAACTAGCTTCAAAAATTAGGAGTCCCTCAATAATCTTAATCCGAACATTTTTTTTTTGTTGACCCAGGAACCTCAACCCTGCTCAAATTTAGAACCTCCCACATCATGAGCGAACCAGACTAGCGGTGAACCGCTAAGTTATGTTACCTTCGGCCTTAATCCGAACATATTATTAGCAAGCAAAATGTAGTTATCTATCAATTCTCAAATGCGTTTTTGGCTAACCGACCTCATTTGTTTAATTTCTTTCAAAATTCAACTTCCATTTGCGTTTACTGAGCACTGGTGGCGGGACAGTGGACCAACCCTAAGCTATATAGTGCTGCAACTACATGGACACATTCTTGTATGTTGAAGAAAGGGTTGGATCATGGATGTGCTTCCAATTATATTGGAGTTCCAAATCTGGGAGTCCCTACCCAATCTAATGCAAACTGCCCACTAACGCGGTTTCTCTCTAATTAAATATCTCCATTTGAAGTCCTTTAAGATGAGATTCACTTGTAGTCAAGCCGGTAAATGATTCATATTGTATGATTTTCTTTCAGGAACCAACAACTGTAGAACAAAGATATTGCTGGAAATGTGGCCGAACTATTTCAACTCGATTCTGCGAGGTTCTCATACATAGTGAAGGTTGGATTTTTTTCCATCTAGTTGGCCTATACTGATGAAGTAGTGTTGGATATTCATAGTTTTTTAGGTCGTTTGCTTGAGGGTTTTGATGATGGATTTGGTGATGGAAAACCAACCATCATGGACTTGAACGAAAATCCATCGTTTGTATTAGGGATTTAGGAAGATGAAATCCGGGGAGTCCACAGACTTTGGGGGGGTCCAAATCCGTGGACCCCATGGACTTGGAAGTTCCACCTCTTGAGGTGAGATTTGTATGATGGATTTAAATCCATGATAGTAGTTTACCCTTCTAGCCTTAATTTTTTTTAATTACAAATTTGTCCTCCTATTTCATTTCAATGGGTATGCAATTATAACGTTTATAATGTCGTATTTTATTTAAGCATGATAATTTTTCATTTTTTTAGTAATGTCATATTTTATTTAAATATGAATGTGTATGTGATTTGTTGGATTCAACTAGAAACACCTTATGCTCATCTTGTACATTATTATTTCATTAACTGTTGGATTCCAAAATCGGGGAGTTAGCAAGAAGATGTTGAGGTGCAGCAATAAGGCGAGCAACTAGTACATAATATTGTGTATATTATTAGATGAATTGTTAATTAGTGCCAAATTGTGAATATTTGTAGTTGAATTGTTAGTCCACATAGTAGTGGCAATTATAATATAGAAATATAATTAGATAAGGGTAACAAGGTAATTTGTTTTTCATATCCACATTTCTAATCAAACAAAATCCACAATCAAATTCATCAAGCAAACAATAGACTTGCTCAAATCCATAATGCTACAAAATCCATCATATATCTATAGTTTTCCAAAACCTTCATTTTTCAAATCCATGTAGCAAACAACCCGTTAATCTACCTATGCACTCTTCTGCTTGTCAGTGGTACCACATTTTGGTGAGGACACGGTTTTTTTTTTTGTCAAAAGATATCATATATTGATCAAATCAGAAGATAGTTACACCCTGGAACCCAGCCAGGTCTGGAAATAAAAAAAAACGACTCATAGTCAGGTACAAAGAGAGGGCTTTCCTAGCTACCAAATGAGCTACCCTATTGTTCTCCCGACCTACAAAACGCACACTAAAGCCAGGCTGAACACGAAAGTAATGAACAATCTCTTCAAGAACAGCACCCAACCGGCTATCGCTTGTGTTGGCCTGATTTATTTTGTCAATTATCACCTTCGCATCGCCCTCAAAGCATATCTCCGACAAACCTTGCTCCATACACCAACTAATCGCTTCCCTCAGCACAAGCAATTCAACCACCGCAGGATCATCCATGTGAGCGAACTGGACCCCTCAAGCCAGCACCAGAGTCCGAGCTGGGTCAAAAAGAACCATCCCACTAGCCGAATGAGACCCACTCTTAGTAGCCCCGTCACTTTTGCAAACCCAATGGGCACCAGCCAAATGTGAAGTTTCGCGCATTCTCGGGATCTGAACCCTAGGCATCGGATCCGCCGGAAGACCCATCCATTCCTCAAACTGCTGGTTGAACTGCCGCATGAGCGCTGGGATCCCAAATTGCTTGCCTTCAAAGACCACCCAATTCCGAGATCTCCATATCCGCCAAAGGATGGCAAAAACAGCCATAACCATCTCAGAATGATGGATCAAACCCAACAGACGTTTGAGAAACAAAGGGAAAGTCTGCCGAGGCAAACCCTCGCCCAAGTATTCCAGCCCCGAATAATCCCAGAGAGCCCGCGCCACCGGACAGTAAAGGAACAAATGTTCCATTGTCTCCGGACCTTCCCAACAAACTGGACACCGAGATAGCACCGGGACCTTCTTCTCAATAAGCGCCTCCATAGTCGGCAGCGCTTGATTAAGAATCTGCCAAACAAATACTTTCAACTTCGGAGGGATCTTAGCCTCCCAAACTTTAATCCAGCTCGACTTGTCCATCCAGCTTACCGAGGAACGCCACCCCCCCCCCCCTCCTCCTATCCAAATCAACTGCCAAATGATAAGCCATCTTAACCGAGAAGACCCCATCCGCCGCAAAATGCCAAATAAGCTTATCCGGTACATCCCGGCGCGGTAGGGGGATAGTTTTAATAGCCTTACAGGTGGGGTGGATCAAACCATTGATTGAGCATTCCATCAGACCACCTCCCTCCCCCCTCACTATTAACCTCCGCCACCAAGGGATCATCCCCCTCAGGCAAGACCCGGGGATTATAGGAAGGGGGTCTAACTGGTACCGAGGAATCCAGTTAGACTGGAGAAGGGAGGCCGATTGACCATTGCCAATCTGCCATCGCAACCCTCTTTCCAACAGCTGACGCCCATAAAGGATACTTTGCCACCCCCAAGAGGGCCGTGAGCGAGCAGTCGCAGACAGAAAAGACCCTTAGGGGAAATACTTGCCTTTATAGACCTGGGCGATAAGCGATTGAGGTTCATTGAGGATACGCCAGCCTATTTTAGCCAAAAGATCTTGATTGAAATGCTCGAACTGGCGAAATCCCATCCCCCCATCGTGCTTACTCCTGCAAATGTTCCGCCAGGATACCCACCTAATCTTAGGACTCTCAGCCTCTGCTCCCCACCAAAAACGCGCCACATGCTTATCAAATAGGCGACAAAGGGCCAGGGGAAGCCGGAAACATGACATAACATGAAGTGGAAGCGCCAACGCTATGGATTTAATTAAAGTTTCCTTAGCCGCCCACGACAACGTCCTTTGCTTCCACCCCTGAAGCCGTTCTAGGAGTTTATCCTCCCAATATCTGAAAGTAGCTGTTTTGGATCTGGCTACCAGCGTTGGAAGCCCCAGATATTTATCGTGGACCCCCACCGCCCCAACCCCTAGAATTGTGACCAAGAACTCCTGATCTG